CTGAGAGTTGCGTTTTGGTTCTGGTACGCACTCTTGAGAGTTGCGTTCAGCCAGATCAACGCAGGTTTGATGTCTGCGTTTAGATGTTGGAACACGCCTCTGAAGGCTGCGTTCTATCTGGAAAATGCACACCTGAGGGTTGCATTTAGCTTGGCTTATGCAGAGCTCATGTTGAGGCTCGCAAACGCGGAGTTCGCGTTGATTGGAGAATCGGCTTTTTTGGAGTTGTGTCGAAGTCGAGTCTTCTCCTTTAGAGAGGGGACTGAATGAACAGTGCAACCCCCATGGGAGATAGTCTTTAGACGAGTTGGCTACAACTGGAGCTTTAGTCTCCTCGGAAACTTTGTGGATCTTGCGCATAGCCTTGGGGCTAAAGGATCCGGAGGAGAGGGCCACCTCGTACTTGGCTTGATCAAACTCGATAATCAGAGTTTCAACGGTCGTTCCAGTGAGATGAACGTCGGATTGCGTCACCACTTCTTCGTCAGAAAAGCTAGTCCCCAGCGGAGTCGCCATCTTTTATTTGTTGGAAATTTGCAGTAAAAAGACAATGAAAGAAAATTTGACTTGTATTCCTCTCAAAATCAATTACAATTTGGATTCCGATTACAAAAGAGAGGAGAATGAATTTGATTCTCCCCTTTGTTTAGATCTGGGTTCTTCACGGTGGCGATGGAGTGCCTCCCTCGAATGCTCGCGTCGAGTTTGCTTCTCGTTGACGATCCGAACGTCTTGATTCACTGGAACGTAGTCTTCTCCTCACGATTTGACGCTGTGGAGAACTTGCAAAGCAAGTTTAAAACTCTTGATGAGTTGATAACTCTGATCGAGTTTGAAACTCTTGAAAAAGAGTTGATTTGAACCGAGAATCGGTTCTCAGTTGATTTAAACCGAAAGTTTGGTTAATAAGCCAAGGATAAAGAAGCTCTTGTTGCTGGTCTCCAAAACTCCAACAATTCCCCTCAAAAGCTAGTCGAATATCTCTTCTTTGCTCCCCTCCCCAAAAAGAAAGAAGGATCTCTCCTGAACTCAGTTGAGTTTCCCACTATTTATAGGGGATTAAGGGTGGTAACTACCCCCTTAATCCGCTCCTCAATAGGCTGAGTGGGGTGTAACCTCCCCCTCTTAAACAGCTCCCTAAATTGTGGGGAAAACAGTTTTAAAACCGTTCTGTTAGTGCTTTGAACGAGTCAAAACGCCAATCTGGGCGTTTTGGACCTTAACTCTGCGTCTTATTGATGAGACACATAGTTGGGCGTTTGTTGGGAGTTGAAAACGCAAGGGCCGCTTGCGTTCAGATCTTAACTCTGCGTCTTAAAGATGAGACGCAGAGTTGGACGCTCGCTGGGAGTTGAAAACGCAAGGGCCGCTTGCGTTCAGACCTTAACTCTGCATCTTAAAGATGAGACGCAGAGTTGGACGCTCGCTGGGAGTTGAAACGCACAGGCCGCATGCGTTTTAGAGATGAACTCTGCGTTTTAGGCTGAAAACGCATAGTTGGGCCTGTTTTAGGCTGAAAACGCACAGGTCGTGCTGTTTTAGAGATGAACTCTGCGTTTTAGGCTGAAAACGCAGAGTTGAGCCTGTTTCAGGCTGAAAACGCACAGGTCGTGCTGTTTTAGAGATGAACTCTGCGTTTTAGGCTGAAAACACAGAGTTGAGCCTGTTTTAGGCTGAAAACGCACAGTTGGGCCGTTACTCTGCGTTTTGATGTTGACACACGGGGAGGACCTTCGCGTTTTGTCTTGAAGAGATTATCACAAAGTAATCTCTTTTGTCATAGCGTTGCAAAGATCATTGTCTTGTAATCTTCGTCTTGGCTCCTTGAGAATATGAGAGTCGTCAGATTGTAACTCCCGATGTTGATTATGAATGCTGTTGAACTAGAGCTCTCATCGGTTGTCGTGAAGGTCGTCAGATTGTAACCTTCAGCGATCTACGTGAAAGTCTTCAAATTGTAGCCTTCTGGAAGTCGTCAGATTGTAACTTCCATCATCGGTATTTGATGGAGGATAAGCTATCTATTGTGATTTTTAGACAACCTACAATTAGGTCATAATAGGTTTCGTTGTCCATCAAGAACAAGTAAATATCAATTAAACGATAATAAGTTTTTTGCCTATATGCTTTTTTTATAGTCTTATTGATTCAACAGGAACTAATAAGTTACCAATTATATGTGTAGGTATATACACTATGCTTCCTTGGCTGGTTAGTGATGACGTCTTTTACGACCAGTCACGACACCTTTTGGAGACTATATCATTTACTTGGGTAATAATTCTTAAGCGTACACACATGAATAAGCTATAAAGTCATAATTTTTTTCTTTTATATTCTAACATTATATTTCATTGTTATACTCTAATGTTATTTTACATTGTTGTGCAGAGAGGACCGAAGCTAGTTATGGTTTATCATAGCCTTGGTCATACGCGGTGGCGACTTGAGGATGAGTGTATGATTACTTTGGTAGCCCAAGTCTGTTTTCTTACATGCTCAAGGCTACAGTGGATCAAAAAATCGATTGGGCACTACTTAATGCATTGATGGATAGATGGAGGCCAGAAACTAACACTTTCATCTACATGTCGACGAGTTGACTATTACTCTCTAAGATGTAGCAATAATTCTTTGTCTCCACATTGATGGTCCTTGTATTACAGGGACAGATAGATATGTATGGCACCAAGTTTGTGAGAAGTTGTTGGGAGTATCTCCGCAATCATTGACCAGAGGGAGAAGATGCACCTCAAGTTAGAATCCAACAACATACTCGTGCATATATTTTGCACATGAGGTAATATAAGAGTTATTTCATAATTTGAGTAATGTTAGAGTTATTTCACTATTGGAGAGGAGAAATAAATATAGGGCTTGAAGAAACTTCAGAGATGGAGGAGATGGTGGAGGAGATGGAGGAAGAAGAGAAGATGGAGAAGAGAGGGAAGTAATGAAGTGGGGAAGGACGGGGAGGGGAAGAGGGAAAGCAAGAGTAGGGGGAGAGAGGAGGGAAGGAAGAAGATGTAGAGAGGAGTAGAGGTAAAATAATTATTTTTAAAAAAATTTGGGCTGAATAGTGGCGAAGGCGTGATATTGAGAACATGTAAGTAGACTAAGGTGATTTAGATCAACAAATTAAATAAATGTGGTAAATTACAGTTTGAACAAAAATTAAGGTGGTTTTCATGTAAATACCATATATTTTATTAATAACGGTTGTACATTTACTATAAAAAATTGTGTAATAATAATAGACTCAAATATTTTACGTGAACCATCTTCAAAGACTTATTTCAAACTATACCTGTTGCCACATATCGTAAAAACAAAATTTTTTATCACAAAATAATATTTCAAGGTACAAAAGTTTTTCTCTTGTTGGAATGATACAAACTCAAACGTTATATATGGTGTGTTTGGCAATTTCAAAAGAGAAATGAGTTTGAGCTAGTTTTTGTTTAACTAGAATAAATTGGACGATATACGATATACGAGGTGCTTCAAAAGAGCACTAGTTTAGAGGTTAAACTTTGAACTAAAGAAAGCTAGTTCAATTGTAGCCTAGTTATTGCCAAACAAAAAACTAGTTTTTGGACCAAGATTGTATCTATTAAAACTAGTTTTGTGGAGTAGCCCCCCCACACACCATTAGTATTTTTCAAAAGGCCCAAATGTATGCTTAAGAGCCATAATGAAAATCTAGCTAATCACGCTTAAACATGCCCTTTACCTAGAGATTACCTCATTTAAGAATCAATAATCCCTTCTTCAGTGGCTTTTAGGAGCAAAACGAGAAATATGTTATCATTTCAAGGTATATACGGAAACAAATCCTCCTTTCTTATACTAGTTTAAATATGCCATCTTCTCGATCTGTTCCCATTTAAGAAACGCTTAACAATTGAACTCCCCGTAAATCTAAGACCACAAGGACGTTTTGTTGGGGAGGTCCATATGCGTGTACAAAAGTAATGGGCTTTGAGGCCCAGACCCCCATCCCCTGATTACCCGTACTCTCACGCGCCTAGTGATGCCCACCCGCTCACCCGCCCAATGACCAGGTAAATTTCACAAAACCCCTAGCAATCTTTGGTCTATTTCTGAGATAACCCCCAAAAGGTTTGATACTTGCTTACTCTCAAAACTTTGTCGACATTTGCGGGGCTTGATCATTTGATTCGACAGTTGGAGAGCCATGATCATGTTATGGTGTCATGATTACTATTCTGGTGGCGGAGGACTCTAGCCGAAGATATAATATCAGTAGACATACATGTCACATAACAAAAAACGTAGTGTGCAATTCTTTTTTGTTCGGCGCTAGAAACTATTTATCTTTTTTCTTTTTGTGGCTTTTATTGCTTTTTTGTACTTTGTATTCGTCTCATTAAACTTTTATTAATGAAACATGGGGGGAGGTTTCCCATCATTTCACTGGGAAAAAAAAAACTTAAAATATCTGTATTTTTCTGAATCTATTTTCATATAACCACTGGTATTTCTCGGTCACCTGAAAAGGTTTCGGGGTCGAGTGAAATTTTCAATTTTTGAGCGTTGCTATATCACGATATGGCTAAAGTCTGGGGGAGTTTTGTGAAACTTTTAGCCCATTCAAACCTC